ACGGGGGAGGGCCAAGGAAAATGAGAAGGGGCGGGGGGAGGGCCAAGGAAAATAAGAGAAGGCGGGGGGAGGGCCAAGGAAAACTTTTTATCACAATTCTTATACCTTTTCAATGCTTTGAGAAGTAGGAAAGTACACGCTATATGTCCTTGGCAGCCGGTCACGGAACTGAAAATGCGTGTGCGCCTTCGCCCGAAATTGGTCGCCCCCGAGTATGATTGGTTTCTTCCATATCTCCCGTAACTCTGTTCGCCAAAATGGCGTCGTCGGAAAAAGATGTCGGTACAAAATCCCCGACATTTTCGTTCAGCCAAAAACGCAGCAACCTTCATGAGCGTAGCAAAGTGCACCAGAGGATACGTGTGTCTTTGCAGAACCTTGATGCGAGTGACACGTTGGACAAGTTGCATGAACGAGTGGACAGCACGACGTCAGATTTTGTCGAGCGAAAATACTCCGGCCTGGCTTCTGTGCGTTCCCAGCGATCGGAAAATGATTTAACTGATCCGGTCTATAAAGAGGCGGCATTTCTTTTTGTATTTGGTTCTTTTTTTTCGCTAACTTAGATGCATCGCGAACTCTTTATTTGCCCCGTTCCGTGAAATTTAGTCGTCCAAAACATAGATGCATTTTCAATATTCTATTTTCTCAGTCGTAAAATGTACCGACAGGCACATGAATGTACTGAAAACATCAGTATTTGCTCAGAAATGACTCTAAAACACACCAGAGAGACTCTCAATTTTAAAAATTTTCTGGGGGAGGCCCCCCCAAACCCCCCCAACGAGAGGGGGGGCTTCCCCCCCACTCGTGCTCTCCCCCCGCGCAGCGCTGACGCGCAGCGCTTACGTGGCCTTTGGCCACGTCAGGTGGTGCGCCCCCCCGTTCACAAATTTCTGGATCCGCGGATGAAACCAGCCTGTGGGTCGGTTGGTAGTGTTAAAAAAGACTATGCATAGAGTCTTATTTGGTCTGAATACTGCCTATCGAGAAAACGCCGACCCAACAAACCGCCAGGTATTTTAAAAGCCAATCCCTGTCTGTGCAAATTTGCCCCATTTCCTTGGCCCCGCGGGCACGCTCAAGAGCCGGGAGCTTCCCACGGAATATTTCACTTCGTCGCGTGCCGCACTTAAATATCATATCAAACTATTAATAAATTATTATATAATTGATTGTTGATAGTATTAATTAGGATGTAGTTTCAGGGGCATTTGTAATGTTTCAGAAAGGGGGGGAGGGCCAAGGAAAGTTTTCTTAAAGCGGGGGAGGGCCAGGGAAAAAAATAAATACGGGGGGGAGGGCCAGGGAAAACCTTTTCTGTCCGATTTCCTACGCACCGGCCCTCCCCCCCCGATAAATAACGTACGGTCCCTAAGTGTGTTGACATGTTATTTTGCAGAATTTTGTTGTTGTTGTTGTTCTAACATTCAGTTCTTGTCTCTACAGGACCAGGAGGGACCACATCCTTGTGGGTACTGCGGCCTACGTTTTGTCAAGAAGCACTGATAATATAGAATATATATCACAGCTCTGTCTGTTGTTTTGTGTTTTTCTCATTCAGATACAAACTATAGCAAGTAAGGAGTGAAATGACATATTCACTGTAAAACTATGGGGTCATATGGCAAGAAATCATCTGCATTCTTAAACTTGTCTTAGCTATGGATAACTGAATGATTTGCTGTGCCCGCTACATCAACTGTAAAAATGTTGGCAAAGAGATGTACAAAACATCAGTTCAGACTATAAAACTGGTACTTTATTTTCTTGCTTCAGTACCTTGTATACATGTTTTGTTGAATAAAATTGCCATATATGCTGTTTCTGTCTGAGTTTACTGTCATCTTACTAACATTATCCCATTTTTGATGTAGTGACACAATACTACACACTCCAGGGATACCAAATACATTTGTATACAAGTAGCCAATGAAACTGTGAAGAAAGCAGTAGCGATCAATCATTAAAAGTCCATCAATATCCAAGACTTTAATACTTACTTGTACTTCAAGTATTCAAGTGCAGGCAAACATGAATTATACCAAGGAGCTTCTGACATAACGTCCTTGATTATAGTTTATACTGTAAATGTATTGATTTTGAGACAATATAATGTTTCTGGTACGATGCACAAAATACTTCTCTTCACCTAATCTCTCTGCGGACCGAAAAAAGTGATTGAAATTGGCTAAAATAGGACAATCCCGATCATGTGAAGGTATGAAGCAGACTGAGTCTTGCAGTAATATTTTTGACCGTTACGGGGCGCTTTTGAACCGTGCGGTTTCTGCTCCGATGCGAATCGTCACGCTGCGAATGAACAGCTTCTTCCCTACCAAGTCCAAGATGGCAGACGAAGTTGCAGACGAAGCCGAGCACGTGCCGACGACTCCAGTCGGTGACGTAAACAGCTTCGTCCAGGTAAGAATCTGTTTGTACCGAACGTTTCCATCACTACGGTCTGAAGTTTCTCTATTTCTCTGATCCCAACATGGCTGGAGAAGGCGTGCTAGGAGACATCTCCTGCCCCCCTCCCCACTACGCTTTATACCAGATCCGCGGAGAAGCTGTAGAAACTAGCCACAGATATAATCTCTCCAAGCAAGCAGAGGTTGTGGGGTAATGATCGTTAGCTTTTTATATATGGCCCGTTTTTTGTCGCTACCCCCACCTTGGGTCGCGCATGGACCCTCTCTGGCCTTGGATACTGCCTGGCCAAAAATTTTGATACTCTATTTTTGAGACCCTAGGATCTAGCCTGAGTGTCAGCCTTGTTAGTTTGGGTAGCGGACGAAAGCTAACAAGGCTGACACCCAGGCTACCTAGGATCTGCTTGGAGGTTAAGATATGAGCCATTCGTTGTGAAGATTCAGTTTTAGATCCTCATAATTTGTTGCGACGTCATAATATGAGATCAGATTTACCATGGGCTACCCCATTTTACGTTGTTGTGTCATATTTTGTGCATCAAATTTTGTTTAGAAATTCTCTTGTTCTTGCGTGTAGACTGTCTCCTGAATCTCCTGAAAGAATTTTTGACACCTTGTCTTCCTTAGCGTGCCCTGAGTAGCGTCCTCCGTGCGACCAAGTCTTCCCGGACAGCCCTGCCCAGCCCTGGCGATGACTTCGATTACTACACCAGCTTTGCCGGCTTCAGGGAGTTTGCAGCCGCACATGCACACAAGATTGTCAACAAGTAAGTCTTGATGAGTATTAAAGTCCCTTTATGTATAAACTATCATTGTTATCACTTGTTCATTGGTTGGCTGGTTCATTTTTTATCAACGACCAATGGATTTTTTTATTGCATGTACATGTATAACGTTGATATTTTAAATCAGTGGATATAGGCCTAGCATTTACATTTTTAAAGTATTCAAAGGGCAAGCCACCTACCAGCTGCCTTTCTAACTGCATCTTACTTTGAGAACATTCTTGTACTATTCTCCCACCCCAGAGAAAAAAAATTAATCAGGGGAAGCTGTAACTCACAGCTGATTCATGATATTCAATGAAGTTTCAGATATTAATTCTAATGTTAATATATATTGTTAGTTCTCTAACGTTATATCCTGTTCCAGCATGAACACACTGTTGCGTCACGAGGGGGTTGAAGGTGAGGTCCTGCGTGGGAAGAAATCCGTGGAGCTGGACGATCGACTGGACACGGTGGTGGAGGCTAATGATATCATTCTGGAGAGAGTGGTAGGTGGCACCTCCGCAAGTATTTTCTTTGTACAAAAGAAAGGCTCAGCAACCATATGCAACAATACCAAGTGATCATATAAGCATTGGTAGTTACATGTCCAAAGGTAAAACACAAAAGGGAAATATTCTCACCTAGAACTTTCAACCAGTCATTTGTCCCAGTGTTGACAAGCCTCACTGGGTCAGTCTACTGAGGAAGACCAGAGTGACTACTCAAAAGCTCTAGGTGAGATTTTCCCTTTTGTTTTACCTTGTACAAATACCAGAAACAACTCTACTATATGTAGTACTCTGCTCTACTCTGTACACACACAGTTATAGCAGATATAACATGTACCATGTTTGTGTGTATGTGTTCAGATTGAGAAGGCTCCGTTTCGATTCTAAATTAAAATTTCATGTGGTGTGCCAATGACTAGCTTTTCTTTTGACTGTAATGATGGTAAATGTAACTTTCTAAACAGAAGAGAAGGTATTGTTAAGGTTGTTTTATTTTTAGTACCAGAGTAGAAAGTTTATTTGAAGCCCGGTTCTGTTGTTCCACAGGGCAGTCTCCTGGATGAGGCATCAGGAGTGGTGAAACAAAAGGAGCCAGTCCTACCCGCTGGAACACCTCAGGCAGGGACACTCGTGTCATCATGGAACAAAAAGGTAACTTCATTCTGTTTTCTGGAATCCGCATTTAGTGTATTTTTAACTCCTTTATCTTAAGCATATAAGTATGGTATGGTAAAAGAATTGCTAGAACATGTAGAATGGTAGCACATGAAAAATTTCATTGGGTCAGAACTCAGAAAGCTGAGGAAGACTGAGTGATACGGTCGAAAATTTTGGTGAGCAATTCTTTTTTTAAAGTAGAATGTAGAATTGTTTACATAATGAATCAATAGCTAACACTTTAGTATGTTTCCTGAATGTATTTGATGCAGTCATGATGATACAATGATGATACAGTCATGATACAATGAATTTTATTGCACAACAATTGTACATGGTACAATGTATGACAACGAATATTGAACAAGTCACAAAAAGAAAAGGGTATAAACTGTAACTTAACATCATGTAAGACATTAATGATGACCAGTTTGATCTACATTGAAAACGATTTTTGTCTTCCTTCCCTCTCCCAGTCCAGGTCCAGGAGCGGTAGTGAGAAGAGCGTGACATGGAGACTTCTGCACGCCAGGAACATCGAGCGTCCACAGCTCAAGTTCAAGGACAAGATCGACAACAGCAACACGCCATTCATCCCCATCATACGCCACAAACCCAACGCTCTCCGTCCGCTGCCTAAATGTGAGGCACATAAGTAGTAGTAGTGTGGGAGAAACTCAATTGGAAATTGTGGGGAGGCTTTTCAAGGATTTTAAGAAAATATCTAATTTCTTAGCCTAATGTTCTTTTCAACCCTTTATTTACCTCTAAAATGAAATGTGTTATTGTACCTTTAATTCTATCTGTGATACAAAGAGACCCTCAAAGCTCTATTTCCTCCATGACTTAGACATGACACATTTTGCATCTACCAGTTTATCTTACGTTCAAGTCTTTTATTGCATAGAATAGCATATTGGTATGAATTTGGAGGACAAATTAGTATTCAAAATTAACAGTGGTTGAAATTGCATGCTTCAATAAAAGCTCCCTGTACTATTTTCGAAGTAGACTTTGTTGCTAGAATTAATGAGTATTTTGACAAATAGCCTTGCATTGTGTGTTGCAGATGACCAACAGAAGCGCCACCCGGAGGATCTGGACGTCCCTACAGCCCTGGCTGACTTTATCCACAGACAGAGGGAGGCACAGGAGGGGCAGCCTGTCGACCTGACGGCACATCCCTACCAGTACGAGTTAGAACACTTCCAGCCCACTCCGCAGCAGCTACAGAAGACACAACCACAGGTTAGTTATACTCTTCATCCCTTGCGAGACATAAGACCATGACTTTTTCTGTCCATCTGGGTATCCTTGGCCACCTTCTTTACTGGTTGCCAGGATTATCCCATGGATGTCTATCACAGTTCTTCTCCAAGTGGTTTTAGGTCTGCCTCTCTTTCTTTTCCCAACAAGTACATGTTAAGGAAAACAAATCTTATTCCAACAGAAAAAAAAGATCACTCACAGAGTTTTAGATCTTGTCCAATGTGTCATGTTGGGACTACACCTACTACCATTGATCCCTTGTTTTCTTTTTCTCCAGACTTCAAATCCCATCGATACCACGCCCCTGACTCTGGTCACCTCACTTGAAGAGTTGATGGAGATGAACGACAAGTTATCCATGTGTTCAGAGTTTGCAGTGGACTTAGAGGTAAAGCATCCTCTTTATTTCTCTTGTTCAATATGTTTCATTCACTTAGATCACATTCTTATAAGGAATTTTTCTGTGGTAGAGTAATTAGTTACAGAAATATTTGACTCCGTTTCAAGTGTGTATATTTTCAAAGTGACTAGTTTGTTTTTGAAAACACCTCAGTAGCGGAGCCTATTAGAACCTCCTACCTTGTATGTTTTCTATTGTTACTGGTTTTATCATCTCAAATTTTGATGACCATACATATTGCCTAAGTCAACAATTTAATGTGTTGGTCATGGGTTTTAGATAATAGCATTGTGCAACATGTAGTTTGATTTCCATATGTATGTATGTAAGAACACACAATTCAGCCTGTGAGTTGCCAGTTGTTCACTTACAATAAACCAAACTATTTTTTCCCCCTGTAGCACCACTCCTATAGGTCGTTCCAAGATTTCACCTGTCTGATGCAGGTGTCCACCAAAGTGACTAAGTAGTTTGTTTTTGGTGACACCTCGGAAGCGGAGCCTTATCTCTTACCTTACACATGTGTATGTTTCTCCCCTGTAGCACCACTCCTACAGGTCGTTCCAGGGTTTCACCTGTCTGATGCAGGTGTCGACTCGTGACCAGGACTACATCGTGGACACCCTCACGCTGCGGGCCGACCTCCACATCCTCAACGACACTTTCACCGACCCCAAGATTGTCAAGGTCAGAGGTCATACTTAGTGTCATTGTCTTTTCCAGTCTACCATTTTTTTTTGTTTTATTTTATGAGAGCTTTGAAATTCAGTGAACTATTATACATTGTACAAAATATCATATCTATGTATAATTAAGTTTCATACACCACATCTGAAGTTTAGAATATTTCATTTTCTGAAAATGTTTGTTGTCTTGAGTTATTTTTAGATTCTGGTGTCATTGAAAATTAATGTGAATGCTTGTTTATGAATGTCAATTTTTGCTAATGTTAATGCTAGCTCATGTGTTCTGTATTAATTCTGCATAACCAATGCGAACTTTGAATGTTCAGCTAAAGGCACTTCTCTGTCTTCCCATAACCTTAACTGTCAACATGTCATAGCTCCTCTATACTAAGACTGTTTAAGTTATAACTGATGAAATTTGCCAAAAAGCAATTACTCAAGCAACTGGATATGATTTTGAAAACGTCAGACGTCTCAGCTAGTATCCACTAGCTTTCGTCAGTGACTGAGAGACCAGAGGGAAATTGCAGTGGATACTAGCTGAAACGTCTGACGTTTTCAAAATCATATCCAGTTGCTTGAGTAATTGCTTTTTGGCGTATCGTATAACCTGGATGTCTAACCTTAATCGACGTACCTGATGAAATTTGGTTTGTTTATTCGTTAGGTTTTCCATGGAGCAGACATGGATATCCAGTGGTTACAGCGAGACTTTGGCGTGTACGTGGTGAACATGTTCGACACGGGCCAGGCATCGCACGTCCTCGGACTGCCCAGACACTCACTGGCGTACCTACTGAAGACCTACTGCGACGTGGAACCTGACAAGAAGTACCAGCTAGCAGACTGGAGAATCAGGTGTGCCCCCTAGCAATGGCTTCTCAAACTGCAGGTCACAGGCATTTGAATCTGGAATGCTGGCTTGGCAGAGGTTGAATGTTGAGACATTGAATTCAATGTGTTACACTTTTGTTTTTTCATATGTAGAAAACTGTTTAACAGAAGAATTGTATTGTTTGCTACATTACCGGTAGATCTACTTGAATATAATTGTATATACTAGTACTGTAGACAAAGGTTTTAGAAAACTGTTTAACAAAAAAACTGTATTGTTTGCCTTCATTTTATCTACTTGAATATTATTGTATATAATAATTAGACACAGGTTTTGTTGTCATATACAAGAAGTTTATAATTATGCAGCAAGTTTAAACTGTAATTTCCAACACAAGAAATTGGACTCACCCAAATTTTTCCCAAAGATTTCTTGTGTTGGAAATTACAGTTTAAACTTGCTGCATAATGACTTCTACCAACACAGATGAACTTTCAAGATAAAAAGTTTATAACCTAAGCTAATGACAATGTCAGGCAAGCTAACTGTATTTCCACCTAATGTGTCTTATGCTTCATAAAATAATTCTAACTTCCATTTTTGTTGCACCCTGCAGACCTATTCCCAGTGAGATGATCCAGTATGCCCGTGAAGACACCCACTATCTGCTGCACATCTATGACTGTATGAGATCAGAACTGTTAGACAGGGGAAACAACGAGGCTAACCTCTTACACAACACACTGGAGAGGAGCAGACAAGTGTGTCTACAGGTAGGGACATCACTAGTAACAGTTGTATGATGCAGAACTTTATTCCAACACAAGGGTACACAAGGATATAATTTTCAATGACCACTGTCACTTCCATCAGAATAAGTAATGACCAATCACTTCCGAACATAAACCATAAGAGTTACGGACATATGACCTATTCACATGAGACTTTACCGATATGTGACATCAGTGTGACATGCCAGGCAGGTTATATTGCCCACCATCTCTGTTTAGTGATGGCTGGAGTGCCCTGCTATATGTAGCCTCCTTTACTAGCCCAGTAACTGTTGTATCTGTGGATCTTTCTGTTTGTAACTGTAAGTTGTCAACCAGTCTTGTTTTATGGGCTCCAGTGTTGATACATCTTCTTAGAGGCAGCTATTTTTTTTTGCCATGGTGAAAAGGCTTTCATGCTAGACCTACATGTATGCACTTCTTTATCTTTGATGATTTACATGTAAAAACTACATTTTTTTCTTTGATATACGAGAATAGGATTTTATGAGTTCCTACAGTGGTTTGTTTTTGTCAGCTTATTGTTTCATTAATTATTATGATGAATTATTACAGAGGTACCAGAAGTTGCTGTACACAGAAGATTCCTACCTGAATCTGCTTCAGAAACACAAGAAAACCTTCAACTCGCAACAGGTAAGGACTCCACAGGCCCAGGGGGGGAAATGATACTATCCCATCATCCTTTGCAATACACATCCCACAACACGTGTCCCAGATGGCTGACTGTCAGCACCAGGCATATAGTCTTGTCATGTTTCCTTTAAAAGTGCAGCAATGGCAACAATTTGACCAGTAATTTTTGGTTCTTTGAATTATCAAAGGACTCAAGTAGTGTATGAGGCTATCTGACTTTTGTAACTTATGTACAACTTCTTACATTGTGTCTTAAACATTTATGCAAGCATTTGCTTCACAAATGGTGCTCAAACTTCACCAAACTAAAGTGCTTTTCTACAAACTCTGTTGATTGGTGATATTATACATCTTGTGCATCAGAAAACCCCAAATGCACCAAAAAGCACCCATGGGAAACAGAAGAAAATATTATATTTGATATTATTTATGTAATAATCATCAACAAATGCAATTTTCTTCCGTTGTCGGTACGCAGCAGCTTGGTGTTGGCAGGAGGAAAAGAGCGATGCAGAGTTGGAAGAAACAATAGCATTAGTCAACTGACGCCTCAGATGGTAAAATATTATCAGCTGGAAAAGATTTTTTCC